CCCCAAAGACAGGGTCCCCAGACCCCGTTGATTCATAAGAAATCCACGACGCGACGTTTTTCGCTATGTTCGGCGTTTGGCGGCCCTTGCCGGGCCGCGGGGCCGCGGGGTCGTCCTTCCTCCTCCTCCTCCTCCTCCTCCTCCTCCTCCTCCTCCTCCTCCTCCTCCTCCATCCTCCTCCTTCTCCTCGTCCTCCTTCTCTTCGTCCTTCTCCTGGTCGCTCGTCCATCGTCCCAAGTCCCTCCTCATCCTCCTATCCTCCTGCTCCTCCTCCTCCTCGTCCTCGTCGCTCGTCCCTCCTCCTCCTCCGCCTCCTCCTCCTCCGCCTCCTCCTCCTATCTCTCCTCCCTCGCCCCTCCTCCTCGTCCCTCGTCCTTCCTCCTCCCTCCTCCTCGTCCTTCCTCCTCGTCCTCCTCCTCCCTTTGCTCCTCGTCCGTCGTCCGTCCTCCTCCTCCCTCTTCCTCGTCCCTCCTCCTGCTCCTTCTCCTCCCTCCTCCCTCTTCTTCTCCTCCGCTTCCTCCTCCTTGTCCGTCGTCCCTCGTCTCTCGTCTCTCCTCCTCCTCTTCCTCCTCCTCATCCTCCGCCTTCTGCCCTCGTCCCTCGTCCCTCCTCCTCCTCCTCCTCCTCCTCCTCCCTCCTCTCCTCCTCCCTCCTCCCACTCGTCGTCCTCCTCTCCTCCTCATTCTCCTCGTCCCAAGTCCTCCTGCTCCTTCTCCTTCTCCTCCTCCTCCTCCTCTCTCCTCGTCCCTTGTATCTCGTCCTCCTCCTCCTCCTCTTCCTCCTCCTCCTCCTCCTCCATCCTCCCTCCTCCTCCTCCTCCTCCTCGTGCTCCTCCTTCTCCTCCTCCTCCTCCTCCTTGACCGTCAAATCCACTACTCGGGATGAACAACCGGTCCCGGGGAGTGGGACGAGACCGAGAGTCGGGCCTTGCCTTTTGCCAGATGCCTCTAGCCGTTGCCAGGAGCGGTGCGAGCGTTGTGATGCGAGCAGTTTGGCGCAAGCTACGTGTGCTGCAAGCTGTTGCGAGCTGTGTGGTGCGAGCGGTGTGATGTGATCCGTGTGGTAGGAGCTCTGTGTGTTGCGAGCTGTGCGGTGGAAGCTTGGATGTCTCAGCGAAGCGATGCAAGATGCGCGGGGGCAAGCACTGTGGTGCAAAGAGTGTGCTCGCAGGCTACTGGGACCCTCGCAGGTGTGCTGATGGTGCCCGCAAACACGGCGCAGTGCTCGCGGGCTGTTGCGGCCCCGCCAGGGTCTGGCACACTGCTGTGCAAACGCGTGGTTTTCGCTGGCTATTGTAATAGTTACTGCTGCGGTATTGCTTCCCTGTATGCCCGTACTCCAGTCCACCCAAGCGTTACTCTTACTCGCGACCCTCTATCCCCCTGGGTAGCGCCCGTTGCTCAGAATAAATATCGTTATCCCTGATTTGTTTCCTCCTACGCCTCCCTCTGCTGGCTCGAGAGAAGCTCGAGGTAGAAGTTGCGACCGAGGAAGACAACATAATGCCAGCTAGCGTGGACCCTGAACAGTGTGTGTTCTAGCAATATGTTTTGGGACAGTATATGTGGTGCAATCTACGCGGTGCAATCTTCGCAGTGCAATATACTTGGTGCAATATGTGATGGGCAATCAATGTGGCGCAATTTAGGCTGTGCGATACATGTGGTGCAATCTTTGTGGTGTAAACTATGCGGTGCAATATATGTCGTGCAATGTATGTGGTGCAATCGGCGTGTTGCAATTCTTTGTGCAATAGATGTTGTGCAATCTATGTGCAGTCTTTGCGGTGCAATCTATGTGGTGCAACTCACTTTGACCGTCTTGAAGTTGTCCTCTCTACTGCTCGTGCAAACATCCCACCCTCCCACCCGCAACTTGGTCGCAAGACTTCTTCAGACAAGACCGTGACGGTAGGTACCACATGGCACTTGGCCACGACACCGACGACGACGGCGACAACGACGACGACGGCGCCGCAGACACCGACTACGACGACACCGCCGACGTCGACGAAGACGACGACGACGCCGACGCCGACGACGACGACGAAGACGACGACGACGTCGCCAACGGAGACGACGACGAGGGAGGAGAAAAAACGACGACGGCGACAACGACGACAACGACGATGGAGGAGGGAAGACGGCGACGACGCGAACGACGAAGAAGGAGGAAGGACGGCGACGCCGACGACGACAACGACGAGGGAGGAGGGAAGACGACGACGACGACAACGACGACGAAGACGACGACGACGGCGACGAAATAGGAGGGACGACGACGAGACGCCGACGACGGACGACGACGACGAGGGAGGAGGATAACGACGAGGGAGGAGTGAAGACCACGACGACGACGACGACGACGACGACGACGGCGACGAAATAGGAGGGACAACGACGAGACGCCGACGAAGACGACGAGGGAGGAAGGACGACCACGGCGACAACGACGACGGAAGCGACGACGACGCCAAGACGACGACGACGACGACGACGAAAGACAGAAGACGACGACGGCGACGACGACGACGACGAGGGAGGAGGGAGGACGACGACGACGACGACGCAAGAGCGCGCGCGCACGCTTTTGTTGAAACACCGTGTTGCGAAACCTTGTGTTTTTGTAGGTTTTGTGGACACACGATTTTGGAATCCTTCCGAGACCGATGGTTTTTGAAGGTTTTCGGCATCCGCACGGGACTTCGCGCGCGTCTGCACTTCGCTTTTTTTGCAGAGGATTCTCGCGACGGCACACGCGCAGGGGCGTTCGACAGATTTCGACATGCGCGCGCGCGAAGCCCGTTTGGTAGCAGTTTGTGAAAACATTGAAAAACCTCATGGTTTTCTGAAGATTTCGCGAGAGCTCGCGCGGAAGCATTTTTAGCAACTCTGTGTTGCGAAACCCTGTGTTTTTGTATGTTTTTTGGAAACTCAATTGCGAAATCCTTCCGGCACCGAAGGTTGTTGAAGGATTTCGGCATGCGCGCGCGACGACGCGCGCGTGTCAACTTCGTCCCATCTGTTGTAAGGGATTCGTGAAAAAGTGCTATGTTAGAGCAAAGAATGTCACCGCATAGTGTTTTTTTGTTTTTACAAAGGAACCTCAGGGGGGGAAACCGGCCTAGCTAGGATGATATGATTTCTTATTTAGGATGGACGAGTGTGCAGAATATATATATATATATATATATATATGAAATCATAGTATCCCGGGGGGAACCGATAAGTCCGGGGGGGGTAGAGTCTATTTTTTTTTGTAGAAATGGAGAATTTATTTCTGTTCGCAGTGAGTTGTCCACTCAACTGCTCGCGCAAACATCCCACCTACCCACCCGCAACTTGGTTTGCAAAATCTCTGAAGACCGTGACGGTGGGTACCACATGGCGCTTGGCAACAACAGCGACGCCGACGACGACAGCGACAACGACGATGACGACGCCGCCGACAACGACTACGACGACACCGACGACGTCCCCAACGACTTCGACGACGCCGACAACGACGACGACGACACCGACGACGACGACACCGACGACGACGACGATGACAACGACGAAGACGATGACGACGCCGACGACGACGATAACGACGACACCGACGACGACGACGACGTCAACGACGCCGACGACGACGACGACGACGGCGGCGACAACGACGACGCCGACGTCGACGACGAAGACGACAACGACGCCGACGCCGACGACGACGAAGACGACGACGACGTCGCCAACGAAGACAACGAGGAAGGACGGAGGACGACGACGGCGACAACGACGACAACGACGAGGGAGGAGGGAGGACGGCGACGACGCGAACGACGAAGAAGGAGGAAGGACGGCGACGCCGACGACGACGAACGACGACGACGACGACGACGACGACGACGACGACGACGACGACGACGACGACGACGACGACGGACGACGACGATAGGAGGGACGACGACGAGACGCCGACGACGGACGACGACGACGACGAGGGAGGAGGAGGAAGGACGACCACGGCGACAACGACGACGGAAACGACGACGACGCCAAAGAAGACGACGACGACGAACACGAGGAAAGACAGAGGACGACGTAGGCGACGACGACGACGACGACAACGACGCGGGAGGAGGGAGGACGGCGACGACGACGACGACGACGCAAGAGCGCGCGCCCACGCTTTTGTTGAAAAGCCGTGTTGCGAAACCTTGTGTTTTTGTAGGTTTTTTGGACACACGATTTTGAAATCCTTCCGAAACCTATGGGTTTTGAAGGTTTTCGGCATACGCGCGCGACGACGCGCGCGTCTGCACTTCGGTCCATTTTTAGCAGGGGATTCTCGCGACGGCACACGCGCAAGGGCGTTCGACAGATGTCGACATGAGCGCGAGCGAAGCCCGTTTGGTAGCATTTTGTGAAAATCTGGGAAAACCTATGGTTTTCCGAAGATTTCGCAAGAGCTTTCGCGGAAGCTGTTTTAGCAACTCTGTGTTGCGAAACCCTGTGTTTTTGTTTGTTTTTTGGAAACTCGATTGCGAAATCCTTCCCGCACCGAAGGTTTTTGAAGGATTTCGGCATGCGCGCGCGACGACGCGCGCGTGTGCACCTCGTTTCATTTTTTGCAAGGGAATTCGCGAAAAGTGTTATGTTAGAGCAAACAATGTCACCGCATAGTGTTTTTTACAAGGGAACCTCAGGGGGGGGGGGAAGCCGGCCTAGCTGGGATGGTACGATTTTATATTTAGGATGGACGAGTGTGCAGAACATATATATATATATATATATATATGTATATATATATATGAAATCGTATTATCCCAGGGGGAACTGATAAGTCCGGGGGGGGTAGAGTCTATTTTCTTTTTAGAACGGAAAATCGATGCTGTGGAATCTAGGCGGCGACGGGGCGGCGACGAGGCGGCGACGGCGCGCACGGAGCCGCCAGACCGCCACCCAGGCCCAGTTCTTTAGAAAAGACGCGAGAGCCCCTAAGTGCAAGCCTTGTCCGAGGGATGCACATAAACTTCCAGAGGTCTTCGCGCATCTCTGGAGTCGGCCGCTGGACCCGCTGGCGCGCGGAGCGCGCCAGGAGCGGCGCCGGAGACGCGGCCAAAGCGGCCAGGGCCGACACCAGGAGTCCGCGAGGACCTCCGAAAGTCTATGCCGTTGCAGTTGTTCTCCTTCGACGTGCAGCTCAGCCGAACTCTCCCAGCCATGGCGCGCATCGCAGCCGTGCTGCCGGTGCTGGCCCTGGGCGCCGCCCAGCACCGCGAGGCCTGGTGCGGCAACGACACCGGCGGCCGCTGCAGGGTCTTCGCCTGCCACCCGTGGCGCCGCGGCGCCGAGTGCGACGGTGACACGGCCAGGTGCCTGTGCCCGCAGGGGGCGTGCTCGTCGGAGGAGGGCATCTGTGTGCCGCAGGAGGCGGCCTGCAGCGCCGACACCGGCGGCCGCTGCAGGTTGCTCGGTTGCGACGACTGGCGGCGCGGCGCCAGGTGCAACACGACCGCGGGCCACAAGTGCTTGTGCCCACGAGGGACGTGCTCGTCGATGGACGGCAGCTGCGTGGGGGGGGAGACGAAGGTCGAAGGAGAGCCAACGGCATATGCATGATCCTTCGACGGTCCGGAGGTGTCTCTTGGATCTGCGCGGGACCCCCTGGGGGCGCCTCTGGCGCCGCCCCTGGCGCGCTCCGCGCGCCAGGGAGCGGGGTCCAGCGCAGATCCAAGAATGCTGCGCGGAGCGTCAGAAGTCTATGTTTAGGCCGACTTTTCTTCCTGAAGAAGGGGGTTGCCAGCCAGAGCAGGGTATTCACGGGCCACATATGCAGCAAGTTCTTTAGCATGACCATGATTTCCTGTCCATCCGAGGATGAGGTTGGGCCCACCGAGTGCGTTGCCGGGAAGTGCATCTGCAAGGAGGGGTTGTACTACGTCTGCCACGAAAGGCGCGACAACAGCACGTGGTCGGGCTGCAGCAAGGAGTGCAAGTGCCAGCAGCAGCGCCCAGTAGATGGTTGCACGCCGATAGCCGCGCTGGCATCAGCACGGGCCGATTCCCTACAGATTTGATGGCCGTGACGCCATCGCGTCCCTTTGTGATCATTTAGCTTCCAGGCTTCGTCGCACAGGCGCTGCCATCCACAGGGTTTCGCCCGCCGCCGCCGCCGCCCCCCTCCGTTCGGAATTGCCTGCATTGCTGCGTTGGTTGGGTTGGCTGGATAATCGGCTTGCCCCCTTCACCTCTGAGAGGTGAGTATCTCTGGCCCCATGTACTTTGCATCGGCGGAGGGTGTCGGCGAGGCCGATGCTTGTTACCGCCGGGGCAGGTTCCCCGTCGTCGTCATCGTCGGCTGTCGTCGTCGTAGTCGTCGTCGTCCTCCGTCGTCGTCGTCGTCGTCGTCGTCGTCGTCGTCCTCCGTCGTCGTCGTCGTCGTTCTCGTCGACACCCCTTCAACGAAATTCCACTTTTTCCCTACAACCTTTACCCCCCCCCCTCCCCTCCCTCCCCTCTCCCTCACGACGACGACGATGAAGACGACGTCGTCTTCATCGTCGTCGTCGTGAGGGAGAGGGGAGGGAGGGGAGGGGGGGGGGTAAAGGTTGTAGGGAAAAAGTGGAATTTCGTTGAAGGGGTGTCGACGAGAACGACGACGACGACGACGGAGGACGACGACGACGACGACGACGACGACGACGGCCACGGATGACGACGTCGACCACTGTTGACGACGACGACCACGGACGACTATGACGACGACAACAATAACGACGACGACGACGACAACGGCGACGACGACGAAGTACAGCGACGACGACGACAAAAGGAAACCTAATGCTGCGACTGGCCGGAAAATTGTTTATCATCCCCCTGGAACCCCGAATTTTATGATCCCCTGGGTGTGATGATCGGAGGCACAGGGTTACTTGGTTGGTTGGGAGGTTAGCCGGATGGTTGCTGACTGGCTGATTGGCAGGTTGGCTGGGGGACAGTAGGGTAGGATTTCTACGTCACATAATGCTGCATCCGTAAGGGGAAGGTCCTGCTAGAGCCGCGCGCGTCTCCCAGTTGGACCTCTCCTCCGCGAGCGCTGCCACCTTGCCAGCTGCGCAACCGTCACCACTCTCGGCAGCGTTTGGTCGGTGGGGTCGCATCCGGACCTCAGCTGGACCTCCTCCCCCTGTGCGCTGCCAAGTGCGCAGCTGACTCTATTATCGTTACACGCCAGTCGTTGAAAGTAGGTATGTTTGGACTCCCAGATCCCAGTCTACTTCAAGCGCCTTCCTACTTTAAGAGTCGATCTGATTATGCTGTGCGTTGGTATTCTCTGGGAGGGCCTGAACCCAATTTACTTGATCCGCCTTCCTACTTTATGTGTGTTACCTACTTCTTCCGACCGGCGTGTAGTCTGTAGGGGTCTTGCGAGGTGGGGTTGCACGTGGATCCAAACTGGACCTCCCTTCCCGTAGGCTGCCAACGGTGGAGCTGTCGCAGCCCGCGTGAGCGGAGAGGGACCCTGTGCGGATCCCATTTGGACCTCTCTTCTCCCCAGGCGCTGTCTGCAGCGCAACTCCTCGCTCTATGTTCGTGAGCCTGCGCGGGGGGGCGGTGCAATGCAGTGGGGCCCCATGCGGATCCAAGCTGAGCTTAAGTCGGGCCTGTCCCTCTACAGGGGGAGTATTCAAAAATAGTCAAAACATAGTCTGGGGACTATTCTTCAGCATTTTTTGATGACCATTTGGGGGTGCTTTTTGGCTATTTTTAATTTTTCGTCGCAAATCCCCCTGCAGGGGGACATGCCCGACCTAAAGCTGAGCCTCCCCTCCCTTGGCGCTGCCAGCGGCGCGCAGCTGTCCCCAGCTTCCGTGAGCCTGCCGGGAGTCCATCGGAAATTGGGGCCCCAGTCGAGTCCCGAGCTGGACCGCCTCTCCCGGGGTGCCGCCAACTGCGCAGCTGCCGCCACTTTCGGTATGGTCTCTCGTGCGGGCAATAGCTATATCCACATCCAGTGCGTCTTGGATTCTTGGGCTCTCTTCCCCAGAAACCGTAGACGCACTGGATATGGATAATCTGACCCCAAGAGGCTTGATTTTGTCCACATCCAGTGCGCCTCGGCGTTGCGGCACCTCTTCCCAAAAAATCCGCGACGCTCTGGATATGGATATAAGTACTGCCCGCATCTCGCTGCGGATGGGTCTCTGCTTTCATGTTTTATTGCATTGCTACTTTTACTTCTAATGCGACTACTGCGACTGCTGCGGTTACTACGGCGGCGACGAATTAGACGAATTACCAGTATGGAGCAGCGGTGGCAAGAAGAGCCTGAGGATGCTCAGGAGGAGGGGAAACACCAGCAGCAGCCGCATCGCCATCAGCAGCAGGAGGGGGAGGAGGGAAATGGGCAGGAGAAGGACCTCCGCCCCCCCCCCGCCGTCTTGGTTCAATTGTGGCCACGGGAACAGCCTGTCGTAATTTACCGGGTGGTGTCTCTGGAGCGCGCATCGGTCGTAGTCCACCGCTACGGGTCGTGGCCTCGGGAGCACGCGCACGACGTGGTTTCTTCGGCTGCCTGGCCTCGGGAACGCGCGTGCGCCATACTCTGCTAGGGGGCTGCGGCCTGGGGAGCGCGCGCGCGCGCTGCAGACTGCCAGGGGTCTCTGGGGGCATCGGGGGCGCGCACGTGTCGTGCCTTCAATGGCTCGTGGCCTCGAGGGGCGGGGCGCGCGTGCGGCAGCACCTGGCCCGCGCCCGCTGCGGTGTTTCGGCGGGTCTTGGTCCCCAGGGGCGCGCGCGCGCGCGTGGCACTCGACGGCGGGCTGCGGCCTCGTCGGGAGCGCCCCTCTGCCGCGCGGCGTGCCAGGGGCCGCGGCCTCGGGAGCGCGCGCGTGCTGCAGGAGACTGTTTTTGTGTAAGGGTCCGGCGATCACCCGGGTTATATCGGGCTTGCCCCCCCCCCCCGCGCGGATTCCCGAGATCGGCGCCGGAGCCCGCCCTGGCGGCGACGCTGGCGCCGCCCGCGGCGCGCTCCGCGCGCCAGGGAGGAGGGCATGGCACGGATGCGCAGCGCGAGGAGCTCGGGAAGCAAGCTGATGTTCACGGCCTAAGTGTCCAGGAGAGCGAAAACATTGCAACATGGCGAAATGACACGCCCGGAGCCCTACCACCTCTTGGATTTACACAAGGCGGATCTGCGCTTCAGGAAGCAATAAGCGCGACGACCGCGCTCAGGGACCCCTTCCCCGTACATCCCCCCTCCCAAGGATAACCAACCTATCCGGTTGTGCAGGTCCAGGGTGGGGGGGCGCGGGCTTCCGCAGGGCTGCCCACAGCGCGAAGGTCAGATGCTCGGCCGGCCCCCTCCTCCTCACCCCCCTGGGTTAAGGCGGGTTATCGCAAATTTTGTTTTATAAAAAAAAACGATCTCCAATCTGCCCAGGGTCGTGGTGGGCGGCGGCCTCGTCGGGAGTGCCCCTGTGCCGCGCGGCGTGTCAGGGGCCGTGGACGTCCCTGGCCCCCCCGCTGGGCCGCGCACGTGCCGCCGGCCATGATCTGCACCCCCCCCCTCTCGGACGCCCCCCTCTTGACCGCTCCCGACCTCCGGGGCTCGTGCCCCCCCTGGCTGTGCGCCCGCGCGGCAGGCGGCCAGGGCTCGTGGCCCCGGGCGCGCGCGCGCGCTGGAGCTCTCGGGGGGCCCCCGTGGCCTCGGGGGGTGCGCGCCCGCACGGCAGCTCCACGCGGCCTCCGCGCGCGCGCGCGCGTCGTGCTCCGTGCTCTGCGGCGGAGCTGTGGCCTCGGGGGCGCGCGCGGGTTGCACGGGGGGGGTCGGGGCCTCGAGTGGCGCGGGCTCGTGGGCGGGGGGTGCTGCGGGCGGGGGGGAGCCCAGGCGTGCGGAGGCGCGGGCGGGCGCGCGCGTTTCCCCCAGTGGCGAGGGGCCTCCTCGTGGCGTCGGGGGCGCGAGCGCGCGCGCGCGCGTGTGCGGGTGTGCGGGCGCGTGCCGCGAGTGCTGCGGGGGGCCCCTGCCTCGGGAGCGCGCGCGTGCGCGTCTCGGGGCGCCGCCCAGGAGCGGAGGGGAGCCGGAGTGGGGTGAAGCCGGGCCTGTCCCTCCACAGGGGGAATCTTCAAAGATAGTCAAAAAGTAGTCTGGGGACGTTTGTTTTGTTTTTGTTGTTGTTGTTGTTGTTGTTGTTGTTTGTTTTTAATATGTTTGGGCTATTCTTGAATTTTCAGTCCAAGCTCCGCCTGTAGGGGGACACGCCCGACTTCAGGGTAGGGGTGGTGCAGTGGGGGCCCATGCCAAGAGGCGCCCTGCTTGCCTCCAGGGTGCCCTGGGCTTCCTGGGTTTCGATGGCTTTGCGATGGAGAGCGTGACCTGCCCACTCCAGAAATCCATGGACGTCCTGGGGCATCAGGGTTGGGTTTCTTGTGGAAGGTTTCTTGTGGTCGGCCCCTACTGCGGAATGCAGGGTTGGACCTAAACTGTGTTTTGGCCGTCTCGTGGGCCGTTTTGTTTTTCGTATCTATTGTTTTGCGTTCGGGTCGAGGCGAAGGCAGAGCGAGGAACAACGAAAAACAAGACGAACACGACGAACATGAACAAAAACACCGTCGAGGTCCAGCCCTGGTGAGGCGTGACTTCGGGGCCTGGGGCGGGGTGCAAGCGCGCTGCCGAGACTGATTTTTCATGTTGGACAAGGCCGAGCTATGCTGTGCTCTGGTATGGGTGGCATGCAAAAACGGTACAGTCGGGGCCCTGAAGAAGGACCCCTTCTCGTTGGGGAGGGGCTCCGCGTTCCTCAAGTGTTTCACAGCTTGCCTCAGGTTTTCCTTTGGTTTTCGATGGGACATCGAAGTCTAACTTATGGAAAAAAGGGGCCTCGTTCCTTATTTAGGGTTCCTTAGGTCAACGCCCCGACTGTAGAGGACAACAAGCATTGAACACTCCCCCTCTCCCGAAATTCAAAGTTGGCACGCGCGGGGGAGGCTGCGGTCGAGGTGCAATTCATCAGACCCACCGCCAACTCTGGACATTGGGGGCAGGGGTAGGCGTTGACAGATGAATGTGGCATGAGTGTTCGCTATTTCTTCCGAGGCCTGTACGAACGGCTGCTGAGATGCTAGCTCTTTAGAAGAGTACGACGTCTCAGCTTGCCTCACTGCAGTGCTGCAGCCGCAGAAGGCAAATCCGCGCTCCTTGCTGGCCTCCGCAACAAGGTGGCAGGCGGATTTGCTCGCCTCCTCCTTCCATTTGTCCTCCTCGCCCTTGCTTGAGGTACGAGGAAGAGGGTTAAGGATGAGGGCGCTGCGCATGTTTGCATGTACCCTCGTTGGCCACACAGACTCGGTCATCCTTTCGATTGTTTTTCCTTTTTGTCCTTACCTTAGGGGCGAGGTTACGACTGAGGATGCCAGGCACTCGTGCATGTGCCCTCGTTCGCCACACAGGCTCGGCCATCCCCGCCTTGTGCGCACGCCAGTGTTTCTGCGCTCTCCCTCGCCAAGCACGGCTGTGCCAGCCCTCGTTGCCGCAACTTCAGCGGCATTCTCGTCGATGACGTCCACAGGTCACATGATGGGCAGGCACCGTCAGATTTGCTTGTACACATCCTTTCAGCGGGGAAAAAAGTACACAGGCACAACGAATCGTCGATTCTCCAGAACACATGGGGAAGCATGGGAAGCTGGGGGGAAGACGCAGATGCAGAACACATGGCAAAGCATGGGGGAATCCTGGGACTCGTGTGACCCTATTTGTGAGTGTCCCTGGGCCCCTTCCTCTCCTCTCCTCTCCTTGCCCCTCAGTCCGCGGCCCTGGCACCGAGCTCCTCGGCAGGTCCGATGTCCCCACGGGTGCCCCTTGCGCACCGACAGGATGTCAGCCTGCCTGCCACGGGGGCGTGCCCGCTCGGGCCGAGCTCGTCGGAGCACCCGGGACACCCCCGCCGGGCACATCCCCCCAGAGCAAGGGACCGGCAGGCAGGGAGGGGGAAGGGGAGGGGGGGAGAGCAGGAGGGGGGAGGAGGGGGAGGAGGAGGAGGACCAGCAGAAGCCCAAGACTCGTCAACGATGCTGGAGTCAACCCTCCCTCCAACCTCCCACGTCATAGACCCCCGCAAGGGTTCATCTCCACTGAGGGAACTGCTTCGTTGGAAGAGAGCCGTTTGGAAACCCTGAAGCGTGCCATTACACAAATCTCGGAATTCCAACGCCATGAATCAACATGACTGTTGCGCCTTGACGATTCTGAATCCTGCCAGAACGCCATCCCTGGGGCTTCAACACCACGAATCAACGTAACTGTGGCGCCCTCACAATCCAGAGTCCTTTCAAAACACAATTTCTGGCACGTTGGCCATGGGTACCCGTGAAGCCCTGGCACATTTGTCAAACTAATGTGCGCGGCGTTGAGGCGAGAGCCACATTTTGAGAACGACCCGCTCTCAATCCGTGACGCTCTTGCAATTGTTTGAAGCGAGTGTGCGCGGCGCTAAGGCGAAAGCCACATTTTGAGAA